AAAATCCAGAAAAAAATAATTGCAAATTATTTCTGTATTGTTGCCAAAAAGCCTATATGGACATGTCCATGAAGTCACTAGGAGCTGAAGTTGACTTGAAGGAGACTTTATGTTTATCTTAATCAGATTGTTATCAGCTAATTTGTCAAATTCTTTGCTTAAATCAAACTATGTTATGTTTACAGCATTCCCACATTTTTTGAAGGAAGTTACCAATTCAAGATAATAAACTGACATTTTATTATTAAAGTTGAAGCCCACTGAAAGCCTCTCATTTGTGGTTTTTTTTTTTTAATTAAATAAATAAATGATCAAGGCAGCTAGTCTCACAATATTTGTTCTTGACAAATGCATGCTGATTTTGGGTAATTAAGCATTGTTTTCAAGATGCTCTCATTTCGATCTGTTCTAGAATCTTCCCAAGAACTTAGGTCAGACTAACTGATCTATAGTAAATTGAATCCTCATTTCCCCCTTTTTGAAGATAGATTCACTTGCTCATTTCCAGATTTCCCAAATGTAAAAACTTTAGATAACTTGACCCCATATCCAATATTTTGGCCTACCTGTATGCATTCCTTCATTCATTCTCTGTCCTTTATGTGTCCTTTTTATTCTTTCCAACCCAACAGAATTTTGGAAAGAAACTATGTAAAGAAAGTCAGGGCTCTCTCTGGCTGTCAATCTATCCACAGGATATCTCTCTGGGGGGAAAAAAAAAAACCAGAATAGGGCTATATGGTATGCTGGGAAAAGCCAGTAAAAGAAAGACTGAACTCAAAAATGGGGCAGAACGGGCTTGAGAAAATCATTCCAGAAAAAAAAACCTCCCAATGGTAGAAGGAATTGAGCAGCAGCTCAAAATATTATTGACTGTTCCCCTCTCCTTTCTGGTTGTGTGGCCCAAAGTGGAGCATATGTAGCCTGCCCTGTGCTTCTCAGTATACACATATACACATAAGCATAGATATAACACAAGAGGAAAGTAGATACACACAAAAAAAGAAATACAATATATTATTTCATTAGACAGAAGAAAGTATAGGCCACCTCCCTCTATCATGACACTACTGTACTGTTAAATCATTGATTGATTACGTGCCATCAAGTCAGTATTGACCCTTAAGCAACCACATAGATAGATTTTATCCCTAAAAATATGTACCCAATATATCTCATAAACTATGCTAAATCACCACATTAAAAAACTTAAATTGTAGGATTTCTTTGTGAAACCATCATCTTTTACCAAAGAAGTCTGGTTTGTTTGATTTTCACCACGCAAGTAATGGATTTTTCATAATGCAGCCCTAAACAATCTTTTTGACCAAATTCAGCACTGTCTGATAGTCCACTTGAACCTAAGTAATGTCAAACATATCAAGAAAGGACTGTTTTTACTGGAAAAAAATAATCCATCCAGATTGTGGTTCAAGTTGTATCTTTTAAATAATCAAAGTGTTTTATAAACTAGTGTACTACATCAAAGAATTCATTCTCATTTGTGATTCATCTTGAAGTATAAACTTCACTAGCAGCAGCACTAGCAGATTGCCAGTGTAAATCCTTTGCTGGAGTACATTTTTCCTTGGATGTTCAGCACAGAAAGAATTAGAATCACCCTTGCCAGGTTACATTAGTTTTACATTTTTCAAAATGTTTCAAAAAGTTTAAAATTGAAAAATTTCAATTTTCAAAAATGTCAGGAGTGTTGTAAAATTTCCCACCTTTAAGAAACTCTGTTGGAAGTCTGCAACAAATTTTCTTCATTAGCATGCAAAGCAACTACAGTGATCACCAGGCCTCTGGCCAAAGATTGCGAGAGCCCCAAACGTTCCAGAGAACAAAGGATATATAGAAAGGGGAGGATATAAAGGTGTCACAAAGATGTCATGAATCATTAACTTATGACTGACAAAGGAAAGGGCAATGGTGAGATAACATGGAGCAACCTCAACCAAAACACGAGCACCTCTGCATCTCGATAGAAGGTCTTCCCTGCCCACATCTATGTGCCAGCAATGCCATGTATAAACATTTCTCAGTTAACTAAACTTTATCATGGCAGTAGGGATGACCTTCACACTTTTGTCCCATGCAATGCCAGGTCTAGGTCTGGTATTTGTCTCCTCAGCCATTACCCAGGATCACAGATTCAGCAGAAACACAACAGCCAGCACTCCTACAGGAAATATTTCAAAATTCATTAGCAACCTTCTTATAAGATCTTTAAGGAACATGGGCCATTACTAAAAGGTCGCAGAACACAGAAACCTATTATCTTAATTACTCTAAATAAAGCAGTTTCAGTCATACGCATTGCCACCTCTTATTCTTTACCAGTGGTTGTACAATATGTTGGTGGCTGAAGACTTCTGGTAGTTTACAACTAGGAGAAGTTTCCTCCCTTCCTTACTGGTTTTGTTGTTTTCCATTTTAATGTTGTGATCCTATATCCTCTCACTTGGGAAAAAGTCTACTAAAGACAATGGGGATTATCACTGAATTGACATGGATCATAAGAAATTGAATTACAGCAGGTAACTCATTAATGTACTTAGTTTAAGATTATGTCTATGTTGAGTGGAAATGATTTTCTAGGATCTGAGCAAAGAGAGTTTTTACCCTAGTGTTTTATAGAGATCTGGGATATTAATCAGTTGCAGGTATGTTTCTCTTTCAGTAACACTCCTCTTTTCCAATTGAGTTTCTACCAACTAGAATTTTTTTCACCAATTCTAATTTGCAGAGAGAAAAGAAACACAAACTGATAACAATAATAATAATGTTATACAAATTCATATATGTATTTTGTTATTGACTAATCTGCCTTCTATATTTATATTTATATTTATTATTTATTATATTTATTTATAATAAATATAAATATTTAAATAAATATTTATTATATTTCTCCAGGAACCATTCTTATCTACTCTAATGGCATACTTCCTGTTATGCTAGCACAGCATGTTATTATGAAATAGATGGTGGAATTATCAAAGTATCAGGTTGTATGTGGACTGATTGTTTAAAGAGAAGTGATAAAGCAGATGAATAATACTAGAACACATCAACTGTATTTGCTTCCTTCCAGTTCTTCAGGTCATTTGGGGTCATTCTTTATGAGATGCATAAATTCCAGACAGACGGTTTCTGAAAACATTTGCTAGAGAAAATCCTGCCTTCAACATTCAGCTGTGTAAGACTTACTGGTTGGTGGCCTGACAAGCATTATCTATAGGCAGAGACACTCTCTCATCCATGTGGTGTGCAGAACAATGCATTCTGTTTGTGACTTGATATTGCTGGTCCTATAAGAAAAGTTATAGAGGGTAAAGCCGAAAGATCTCCATATATGAAGCTACTTGTCAGCTTCTGCTTTCTAATTACTGAGAAGAAAATTAGCCTCACGGATACTTTAACATACATTCTAATTTCAGAATGATATCATATTGGTAGTTAATTGAAACTTATTGGATGTTTGAATAATGGCTGTCAGATCCATGTCACAGATCATGTATGTCACATATCAGGATCCATCTTGAATCCTCCTATCTTCCTGAAGAAAAATAAAAATTGCCACATGAGATATGTGAAATTGCCATATGAGTCTACTGCCTGTGTACCTGATATCCCCAATTCTGGACTTTCTCAGAATCAGTTTCAGAATCAGATCAACTGATTCAGAATCAGTTTCAGAATCAGATCAACATATTGCAAATGCTCTGTGAGGATGTAGAAGATTGTATTTACTGTGAATCAATATAGCATGATTCAGACAAATGTGACATACCGCTTCTAAAGAACAGTAAAACAAACTGGTGAATTCCAGATGCTCGACCAAGAATAATAGATCATGAAAATTGCCATCTCCCCAGACTGCTGATACTGTATTGTCTTGTGTAATTCCAATAGGTTCCCCAGCTACCTTCTCAGGGTCTGAGAAACTTTGATTGAAAAGTTTCTCAGAAGGTCTATTGTGTACATATTCAGCATATAGCTCATTAAATCCAAGATTCTCTGTAATGTTGTTCCTGTGGACTTGACATACTTCTATTATTTGGTTATTTTGGCTGCAATAAATATCCTGTGCTATGGATTATATCAAAGACATGGTCACGTGGTGCATAGAGGTGCTCTTTTGTCTCGACACGTTTCTGTTAGTTTTCTTTTTGGAAATGTTATGACAAACGTCCTGGATATTTTGGCATTTCAGTCGAAAATACTGAAATATGTGCTTCCTTGGATAACATTTTCCCCTTTCATTGGATAGCAATGTTCAAGCTTCCAAAATTTAAAAATGAGCTATTTCTTCTTAATAGTCAAATTACATGTACATACATCTTTCAAAACAAGATCCAGCATTTCATACAGGAACAAATTAATACTTCCATAATAAATAATAAATAATAAAAGGGATCACACAAGTTATTTAGATTATTTTTATGCATTACATTACTTCCACAAATAATGCTAAAATAGTAACAAACTTTCTGAAAAGAATTGGATGGTCATCTAGAGATTTGGAATTCCAAGTCATTAGCGCACTGATGAACCTCAGCTTGTCTTTCTCTTCTTTCCACCTGAATCATACAAGCTGTGCAGCTTCTTGACAGGTGCCTGGAGGCTGTGCCTGGAGGGTTAGGGTCAAGAAACTAAAGCTGAATTCAGGTAAGAAAGAGGTGGTGTAGATGGCTGATGGAAGACAGAAGTTTTGAAAGGGAGTATGGAATGTGGCTTTCTTTTTCATATATAGAACTGAAAAGTTTGTCCATTTATTTAGTTTGTGGCCAGGGGCATCCTTAGGAGGGTTGAAAAATGTCCATATTATGCAACACACATAAAAAAAGGAGTGGGACTTTGATCCTATGGTTGGAGCTGCCACCTTGGCCTTTTTGACCTCCACTTGTGGACATCCCTGATTGTGGCTTAAAAGTTCGTGTGTCTCAGCATCTGTTATGAGTTTCATTCTAACTTGTGTCATCTTTTGTCTCTAGATTGACTTTGAAGATGTGATTGCTGAACCTGCAGGAACCCACAGTTTCGATGGGATCTGGAAGGCCAGTTTCACCACCTTCACTGTGACAAAATACTGGTTTTATCGCTTATTGTCTGCAATCTTTGGCATTCCCATGGCTCTTATCTGGGGCATTTATTTTGCCATTTTGTCATTCCTCCACATCTGGGCTGTGGTGCCTTGCATCAGAAGCTATCTAATTGAGATCCAGTGCATTGGCCGAGTTTATTCTATCTGTATCCATACCTTCTGTGATCCATTCTATGAGGCTGTTGGCAAAATGCTGAGCTCTATCAGAGCAACAGTACGGAAGGAAGTGTAAATGACATTTCAAGGAGCTGAAGAATGAGTCTTCCCCCTCCCTCATATTTTGGTGCCAGTCTCAAGGCTGCCATAAATGAAGTGACCGGCACGTAACAGCATCACTCAACAAAACAACCAACTTGAACACAGCAAAGAATTGCTTTCATAACTTTCTTTGCTACTTAATCCCTCCTGGATTTATGCTATTCACTCTTTTCAGGAGGAAAGTCAATTTGCATTAAACAAACACAAACAAATTAAATAGCTGCTCTCCCATGCTACCTGCCTGTTGTTTTGCTGACCCTTTGACGAACTGACTCATGTTCTGCTTATCCCTTCCATTCATTTGTTGCAAGTTAAACTCACATTGATTATAATGCAGAACTGCAAATACGCTTTCCAGCACTATCCCACTGCTCTTCATTTTACTGTGAGCAAAAGAGATGTAAAAGCTACTGCAGCATTATGGACATGACAACAAGCTGGCAGATGTCCACAGAATGTTCCTTTTATAGATGTATTGTCAGTTGACTGTAGCGCTTTACTGTAGTGACCATATCTAATTGCCACACACAGATTTAAAGAAATAACTACTGTAACATACGTGCTGAGAAAAAGAGATCCAATATCTTTAGAAAGACAAAGCTTTCAACTCAAACAACTATGCATGTCCACGAAAAGCTACTAGTGCTGCTTTTGTCTTATTTTGTTGTTCTCCCATGAGAGATTATTTGAATTACGATAAATATATAATATCTTTCTTATATGTCACTAAGAGAAAACATAAGGGGTGACCTTAATGCTTTTTTTTAATCGAATAATTTATGAAACCCTGATGACGCTTGCATGTGAAGCCTCATGCAAAGAACTGCCCCTTCCCCTTGAGATCTTCTTAACTAGAAATGGCAGGATCTGAACAAAGAGCTTCTGAGAAATGCAACCCAATTTTGTTTTATCCCTGAACAATGACTTCTAAACATTTCAATATAGAAATCAAAAGTCAAGGTAGGAATATGTTTGGATTTATTTTCTGAAAATGCTTCCACCAAGAAAATCCTTATGGTGCTGCCCATATTGTATGTTAATTTATCCCTAGATTAAAATAACAAGGACCCTGTTGTGCTTAATTTTTTTAGCAACATTCTTATGAACAGATGTTCTAATTAATTTAAGCAAAACTTACTACAAAGGGACTAATTGTTCTCTTAAAAGTACATATCAAGGTAGGTACAAATAGTGTCGAATCATGCCAACCATAAACTGGGTTTGTAAGAGTGATTTGGCTGCTTGTAGGAGAGACAGTTTCAAGACTCCTTATCAGCCAGGTTCAGCAGGGCTACTAGTTCTGTTTTTATGCGTTGCTAACTTCACCCTGATCATCCATACAAGTCATTTTGGCAGCACTATGTTATGATTCACCTTTTATTCCCCCTTCTAAACCTAGCTGTACATAACTCAAGAAGCCTTCCTGGTGATAATTTGCATAAAACTGACTGAAAGACACAGAAATAAAGCATTTATAGCATTATTTCATGCTGTGATGTAGAAACTTTACTGTCACCACAGTGACAATGCAGTGAGGGAATAGCTTCGTGGGTTTTGCATGAATCTGTTGCTTTTTTATAGCTATTAACCAGGATGAGCTTCCTTAAATATAAACTGAGGAATTTCAAAGCCTGCTCTGCTTTTGTTAGAGACTAGTTACAGGGAGGGCTTACTTGGATCTTGAGTATCTAGAATAGCTTCCAGGTACAGCTCAAGCATAATTAATAATAATGCCCTGGCTAGTTTTTTTTAAACTGTCTGATTGCTTCACCTTTTCTATGTTTCAGCGCAAACCTAAGTATATTCAATAAGAGGTTGGTCTCACTCAACTGATCCAAAACATGTGTGGATCCAAAACATGTTGCTATCTAAACTGGAGCTCAAATGGCACCTCTCTTCACCTTCACCCTCCTAAAACCATCACTGTAAAATAAAAATAAAAACCAACTCATGTCTCCTTGCCACTTCATCCTGCTGCATGATAGGACCAGACCTGAATGGGACATCTTCGTGGTAATTGAGACTAAAATCTCACCAGAATTGCTTTGGTGGTCTATAAACAACTTGCTTCTTGCAAACCCAGGGTTTACTACAGTAAGATTAGCTTCGGCGTCCTTCATTAAATTACATTTCTATTAAGATAGCCTTAGCTGACTAGACTGATCTTTCATGGCTATGTGCACTGATACAAGATCATAACAGCCAATTATTTTGAATAAAATGATGAGCATTTTATTGCACAATAGACAATTGTTGCAGCAGATACAGGTGTAGAATCACATTTACTTTTATTAGTCTGCTATACTAATAGTATAGTAGAATACTAAATTGGGAAGCTGAAAAAACATCCCAGAAGAAGCCAATTACATACTACCTTATTGTCAAGAAAACTGCATGGACATGTCAAGCTGAACTTCAGGATGTCTTTATCTTGCACAGTATAAGTACATTCAGCTGCATTTTGACTAACATTTTATTGCTTGAGAAATGCAATTCTGCCAATGATTGCATTCATTTATATATTTGGACTGCAATTCAATTCTGGCTTCATAAGTGACAGAATTCTGTCCCATCCATTGGATTACTTTTTAAAAAATCACATTAATTTACTACCAGTAGCTATTGGCAACAGTGATTCAGTCAAGGAAATAAATAGTGAACACAGCCAATCCCCTTCCCATTCTCCCAGCAGAACCGTCCTATCATTTCATTTACATTTGATCTCCCAATGCTTTAGTCAGTTCTTTCTAGTGTGTACTCTACACATAACAAGGTTTACCTCCCAACTAAACTTTATGGGATGTGGAATGACCATTCCCAGATTGGTACCCCTTACATGTTTTGAACTCTACTTCCCATAAATTTCAGCCACTATGGAATGCTGACTAGGATTTATGGGAACTGAAGTCCAACAGTTGAGGAGGACATCAAGCTGTGGAGGCTGGTATCGGATATAGCAGTAATGGTGTTTAATCACATATTTTGCTCAAAATGGTCAATATAAAATGTATTCATTTCATTACAGAGAAAGAGTTGTGGTTGGACATGTAGTCCAGACCACTGAGATCAGCTTGAAGGCATGTGAAGTAATGAGAATGTAGTTATATACAGTTTGCTCAATAAATGTAAGGCTGCAGAAACTTTGTTGGCCAAGAAATTAATATAGAGTACTGCCCACAAATATCAGTTTTACTCTGGAGCAAATCCCTATAAAATTTCAATCAGTTCTCAGTCACTCTAAACACTAGAAGTAGACATTTTATAAAAGTGCTTATTTTGTGTTCGGGACACCAATTTTTGAAATCTAATAACTTGATATGTTTTCCTTTTGCGTTTAAAACAAACACTGGTCTGGCCATAATTTTATAATGTACATAAATGAGATATACTATTTAGATATATATCTATATATGTTGCAATACAGCAACAACACACTTTTGATGAGAATGTAAACAAGACATATTTTAGTTTTATATAATAAAAAACACTTTGAAATATATTGCCTAAAATGGTGTATTCAAAAAGTGCACCCCAAAGCAAATAACATTGTTGATCCAAGATATTCACATATGCTTACAAGATGTAACTGACATTTTTTTTATTCTGCATGTTCAATAGCCAAGGCTACAGTCTGCACAATAAAAGCTGTTTTAATACAAACACTGGCCTGAATCATTCTTTTCTTTTAAAAAAGTTCCAGTCATTAGTACAAGTTTTCAGATAGTTTCAAGGAACTAAGTCTGTTCACTGCAGCTTCTATATGGTAGTTTGCCAAACCTTGTAGAACTATGCAGATTGACAGGATTTATACTTTGATGTAGAATGACCAGGTTCACACTAAGCCATGGTCTGTTTAGCTATAGTTTACTAAGTAAGTCACAGTTATCTGACTGACACAACATGCTAACCCATAGGCCATGGTTTGCAGACCAGAATTGCTGATTTCATACAACACACTAAGCTAAAACCAACCAAACCACATCACGACTTAGGACAGTGGCTCAAATTCCCAATCTTTTGGGTCTGGTCAGCAATTTAGAGAATATGTTATGCTCCTTCTTACATAATGATTGCCAGAGATATTTCTTGCATAATGATTGCCATATTCGGAAAAGTCTGCCTGACCTCCTCTGTAGTACTCATGCTCTGCAGGACGCTTGAAGGAAACAGACTATCTGGACCCATTTCAGTTGAGTTTCAGACTGGAGTACAGTATGGAGACAACATTGATTGCACTTGTTAAGTTGTGGCAGAGCCAAGATAGAGGTAGTACATACATTCTTGTGCTCCTTGATCTTTCAGCAGCTTTCAATACCATCAACCATAATATCTTTCTGAAACGGCTGGTTTGGGGTGGGGGGCACTATATTACAGTGCTTCTCCTTCCTCTGTGGCCAGTTCCAGTTGGTGATGACAGGAGGGATGATGTCATGTCTGCTGTCCCTCATCTGTGGGGTGCCTTATGGCTTGATGTTCTCTCCCCTCCTGTTTACCATCTACATGAAACTGTCGAGCGAGGTTATCTGTCAATTCAGAGTCTTTTATCATCAATATGCAGATGATACCCCAATACATACATCTCAACCCTGGGCTGTCCAGGTGATGCTGTGAACATCCTGATTCAGTATCTGGAGGTTGTGCAGGTGTGGATGGGATGGAACAGTCTTGGACTCAATCCTGACAAGACCATGTGGCTCTGTTTGGCTCTTCCAGTTGGCCATTCCATCTTTGGTCTTGGATGGGGTTGTGCTATCCCATTCAAGACTGGTGGATGGTCTGGGGGTTGTCCTGGACTCACAGCTCCTGCTCGAAGAGCAGGTGGTAGCTGTGGCCAGGAGAGCCTTTACGCAGATCCCTCTAGTGCACCAGTTATGCCCTTTCCTACTGTAGAAGGCCCTTCTGACAATCACTCATGCCTTAGTCACCTTATGAAAGGACTGTTGCAATACACTCGACATGGGATTGCCCTTGAAGACCACTCAGAAGCTACAGGTGGTCTGGAATACAGTGGTGCAGGTCGTGATGGGCCTACCACAATATGCCCATGTGTCACCAATGCTTGGGGAGTTGCAGTGATTGCCATTTGGATTCTGCGTGCAATTCAAGATGCTGATTATCGCCTATAAATCCATTCAAGACATAGGGCCTGGTTGTTTGAGGGATTGCCTATCTCAAATAGTTCCTGCCCACACAGTAAGGTTGGGCAGAGTAGCATGATTGAGGTCCTCTCAGTTAAACAGTGTCATCTCTTGGTATCCATGAAGTGCACCTTCTCTGTCGCTGTACCTGTCCTCTGGAACGGCACACTCCTGGGAGATGTGTATGGCTTTTTAAATATAATTTTATTGAAAGTTTTAAAAACAATAATAAAAATACAAACTAAAATAAAGTAAGAAGGAAAAAAGAAAGAGAAAAATAGAAAAGAAAGAAAAAAATATAAAGAAGTGGCTTCTAATCTTTACAGCAGTTATAAGTACAATTGTAGACTTACCTCTTTCTCTGAAGTTATATCATGACTCTCTTCTTTCTATAATCTATTTTATCTAATTGTCAAAACCATAGATTATAAATTCATTTTTTTTCTGTTTTACGTAAAAAGTTCATAAGGGGTTTCCATTCAGCAATAAATGTAGATATTGTCTTTTCTCTAATCAAACAGGTCATTTTGGCCATCTCAGCAAGTTCTATCATCTTTACCAACCATTCCTCCATGGTAGGTATTGCCAAATATTTCCATCTTTTTGTGTACAGTAATCTCACTGTCCCCTTCATGGATCACTGCTTTGTCGTGGCAAAGGGGCTTGTGTAACTCAGTGAAGCCATGAGGTATACCGTGCAGGGCCACCCAAGACGGACAGGTCATGAC